ATGGGCGGCTATATAAATATGATAAATAAATAAATAAATAAATAAATAAATAAATAAATAACATCCAAACCAACCATCATACAAAATCATAGAAGTACTAAGATTTGTGGCCTCCATGGCAACCATGGACCTGTCCCAAGTCATTGTGGGCCAGATGCATACTGCAGGGTTGCACATTAGACCTGGTTTTTGTTTCAGGGTAGTTGAGAAGTGATCTGGTTTTGGAGGACATTGGTATCAGTCTGTTGCTGTGGACAGATCACCTTCTGATTGCTTTTTGGCTTACTAACACCACCCTATCTTGCAGGGGGATAGGGCCCATCCTAGGCAACTGATGGACTCAGCTGGGTTCCAGAGGGAACTTGGGGTTTTCCCCAAGGATTTGGTGGACATTTCAGCTTAGTCTTTAGATGCAACCTGGAATAGGCAGGTGGAGATGGCCTTTGACTGGATTGCCCCTATGTGACCTCTCCCCCAGCACCAATCCCACCTTGCATCTTGGTTCTCTGAGGAGCTCTGGGAGATGAAGTGCAGGAAGAGATGCCTGGAGTACCATTGAAGGAAGACGAACAGTTAATCCAACTGAGCACAAGAACCCATATTAGGTATTACATCATGGTGATAAGGGCTGCCAAATATTATTGTTAAATGTGATGCCCTTATTGCACCTGCCAACAGCTACTTAGTGGCCTTATTTAAGGTGACCAAATCTTTTTGGGAAAGGACAGGCAGCAGGACCTTCTGCAGGGCTTCTGTGAGGAATATTCTTGCTATGTGGCAGATAAAATCACTCAGATTTGCCAGAATTGGATTCTGACTGTACAGGTCTAGCTGAGGGGCCCAAAGTAAGGTTTTGTGGGGCTATCTAGAGTGAGCTTGAATCTTGGGCTGGCCAAGTGACACTGTTGAAGTCATAGCCCAGTGCCTGGAGGCTGTGCAGGTCTTGATGAGGAAAAATAGACTCATTAATCCTGACAAGACCAAGCTGCAACCACTCACAATTTTGGGCCCAGAGGCATTCTTGGAAATAAATATTATGCTTGAGATATGATGTGCCTTTATGCTATTATACCTTCCTATTTATTCATTTTAATTAAAAGCATTTTTAATTAAAATAAAAAAAAGTAGGTGCAGGGATCCTACTGAGAACCAGGATGGGGTTGCTGGGCTTATTGAAACTCATGTGCCCTTTATCAAGAATTCAGATCCAGACTTTGCATTCAGAAGGTAATCAGTTCAGACTTCACCATCCCTATGTGAATGGATATCTAAAAATACAGACTGACAAAAACCTCTTCTTTAAACCTTGGTAGGCTGTTGTTTATCATGAGTTAGAATGAGAATCACCAGTGGCGGTTTCGTACCATCATCTTTGGAGAGGGACCAGTGTTCAATGGTAGAACACATACTTCATACAGACTCCAAGATTCAGTTCTTTGCATTTCCATTTAAAGGACTACAGAGCTCTCTGTATAGGTTATCAGAGTTTATTCATAACAGCCTTATACAAGCATCATTCTATGTCATTTTGAGTACCACACTAAATTAAAAAGTGCTGTACAGCCCATAGCAAGCCTAGCAAAAAAGGAGAGTGAAGATTTTAGAAGTTGCCATAAATGCCTTGGTGAATAAAAAGATTTTCACAGAAACAAAGAAATTATGCAATAATACATTTCTTCCTCTGTAAGTTGCTAAAAATGAGTTATTGTACTACAGTTGTATTTATACACAACTTAATTGTATTTTATTGACTAAACTACATTCAACCAGATTCACACAATACTCTTATAAACCAGGATTGCAAACCAAAAGGGCCAGTTTCATACAATATGCTAAACCAAGCCACAGCTTTTAGTGTAATGAATGAATTCTGTTTTTTTCCAGCTCAATAGAAAGTAATGTCATTCGTTCAGACAATGGTACAAAATTCTGTGCATGCACAATTTACAAATATGTAAAGTCAAACATTTTTGCCATCTCTCAAAGTAAGATGTCACCGAGAAGCTCCATGTGGAATGAGTATGTATGATACGTTCCACTACAAACATCTTGCAGCCAGAAAAATAAACCAGCATCCTACTGCAGCATCCTACTAGCCCGGTCACTACAGTGAATACATACCTTCAGCTACAATGCTAGATGGACCACCTGGTATCAGCACACACAACTTAAAGAATCACACTGTTTACCAATCATTCTGAAAATTTTAAAAAATGGTTGCATGCTTCAGATTTTCTAAGTAATAATGGTAGCTATAGTATTATAGTACTATATCTTGCTATCTTTTGCTGCATTTATGTATCACCTTACAGTGATGCACTGCAAAAGATGCAGTCAACAAATCAGTTGTAATGAACAGCTTACTCTAATTAGAGCAAACAGTAATACAAATAATAGTATAGTTCTGACTGCAGAAAATATTTCAGAATGCTGCTATACTAAGAAGACTGATTTTGTTCCAGTTCCTGTATTCATTACGATCTTTAAATAATGTATGTTCCAGGTAAGAAGTGCATTAATCATTTGAACTGTTCCTGTAGTGTTTATAAACGGCACACGCAGAGAGAAAGAAAGATATAAAGCCACAAAAACGTTGAAGGACTATTCATTACTTGCAATTTCTGGTATCTTCTCAGTTTCAACAGTCACTTATGATGTAAAACACAGTGATAACCAAATCCATTGATAGGTTGCATTCAAAATATGTTTGTATTTCTTTCTCCCATACACCAACACACAAACAGAGAACTGAACATACATTAGGAGAGAGACAATCTCTCACCAACTACTTAGAAAATAATACAGTTCAAGCTAAGAAGAATTACTGTCTAGCAGATGCAATTTCTCTGTAGCTTAGAAAGCAGCTGCGTTTTTGTAAAACCCGATGAATGTGGCAGATCTACCTAAAGGTAGAAGAAAAAGAACACCCCTTGTTTTGTAATAAGGGGATTTTCAATTTAAAGGCGAGAGAGGGCCTGTTGTGTGAAGTATGGTTATTACATTCATTGTATTCTGTCTCGCTCACTAGGAGGCTAATAATGAAGGAGTCAGTGAAAGAGCCAGTGCCATGAGAGTTATCTCATGGCCCCAGATGCTGGATAAGTTGAAGAAGGCAGAAATCACTTCTGGATGACATTCAGGTCTGAATGATGATTTGAAGAAGAAAAGACTGTTATTTCCAAGGTAAACAGGCCGTCTCATCCATCAGCAGTATAGACCAGTCTAAAATATGTTTACATAGAGACTTAGAAAGTTCACTTTATCACTTTCAATTTTTTTTCTCTATGACAGCTTCAGCAATATATTCCTGAGACAAAAGATCCACTCCATGCTCCATCACGCCTAAAAAAGAAGCTTTGAAGAAATTGCTAGGCTTACTTACAATGAGAGAAATTACGCACACAGCAGAAAATGAAAAAAGGCACATAGATACTGTGAATACTTCAGAAAAGTGCCAAAGACCTGGTTGAGAAATGGCTTCACAAGGTGAATATTCTTAGTGGTTACTTGTGATTTTGAGATCAGACAATTGCTTTCTCTTTTAGGAGCTATGAATTTAAGCATATTTACACACCAGCATATTTCCAGACTAAAAGGCTGTCAGAACATTTGTCACTGTGTTGACAGGGAGATATCATCCTTATGCTGTTTTTATGGGAACTAATTTAATATATGCAAATGTGCACAAGTAGCCCTTAGAAGGCTCTCAGAGTGAAAGACTTAATAAATGTGTGTGCCTATGCGAATGTGTGTATGTGTCTTTGTACATGTCTTTGCTTCTTTGTGGTAATGTTTGTGTCGTTTACAGACTACATTTTTCAAAAGGAGGCTTAGAGTTGCATTCCAGTTTCACGTTTCCCTACAACAAGTGAAATACACAAGTGCATATAAGTCAGGCTTTGTGACTGAATTTTAATCTTTAATACATGTATAATAAGGGCATGTAAATGACATATCTGGCAATCTATTGGTTTTCAGTGAAGTAAGTCTGAAAATTTCACTGAATTGTTCCATATGTGCTTTATTTTTGTCCACATAATCAAAGCAAGCTTCTTGAAATCCTATTTGGGGGCTATTACTTTTAATTTTTGTGAAATATGCAGCCTATTCCTCCTTAATAAATAAATAAAGCTGCTTTGTCATGGTCAGTGTCCTGTAGCTCTTTGTGCCCTCCTTTTCATTTCAAGCTGCAGTTGAAAGAAATAGTTTCCTTCTTACCCTTATAAAAGGCTGATATTGCAGTGTAGAAGTACTGAAATAACATTTTAACTCAGGGGCTATATTTCCCAAATAGAACCCAAGAATGAAACAATTGAATTGGCCAGAGTCCAGGTTTGGGATGTGACTTTTGTTTGGCTAAGCTGAAGTACGAAAAGCAAAAAAGTCATCTCTTCTTCTTCTCTTGCCAAATAAAAAAAGAAGTTTCTTGAATCTATCTAAGCCATGTAATATCACCATGCCAACCTAGGATTAATCTTTAGAAGAAGGAAGCCCAAGCTGGAATGAGAACACTGGGCAGTTCTCTTTCCTGCTGATTTCCATGAAAATGTTTAAAATGAGCTTAAGTCTCTCCATTGAAGTCTGTGAATTTAGAAATACTTAAATTGGATTGTTTTCTGACATTTTTATGAATCTTATGACATTGGATTCTAAAATAAAATTGAAAATAATCTTTTAAAAATAGTATCACAAAACTATTCATTTTCATATATTTTACAAAAATAATTATATCCCACTATCTTATGGATCTCAGAGTGGGTTAATTTCCATAAATTAAAAAGATACTAACATGGAAAAAATATTTTACAAGATTAAAAGACAAGCATAATATAATTCAATATCATAAATAATGGGCTCATCAGGAATATGATTTCTATCCTATAAAACAAGGATGAAAAACCTAGAGGCTTCCACTTGTTGTGTAACTATAGTTCACTGTACCTCACACCATTGCTCTGCTGGATTAGTAGTTCAGCAATTGCTGAACTCTGCTATTAAAAGGTCACAGAATTATAAAACATTAGGAATGGCAGGAACCTTGGAGATTGTCTAGTCCCTTCCGCCTAGAGCAGTCAGTTTAATATGCTGCAAATCCTGTAGTACGGAAACAGATCTCTATCTAGATCGGTGTTTCTCAACCTTGGCAGCTTGAAGACGGGTGGACTGCAACTCCCAGAATTTACCAGCCAGCATGCTGGCTGGGGAATTCTGGGAGTTGAAGTCCACACATCGTAATGTTGCCAAGGTTGAGAAACAGTGATTTAGATCTTATTGAGGGAACTTTTTTTTTTTTTAATGCAGATCCTCTTGCAAGCTCATCTCAACTGGGAAATGAGGCGAGTATTTAAGGCTGCTGATTGGCATACAGAGCAGTATACAATATATCCCCTATTTTGTCAAGGTTATTTGCATTTCAGAAACAGATAAAAATTAATGAAGACTTGCAGTTGAATATATTTATTGTATTCTAAATATAGGTTAAACAGCAGTTTTCCCCAACCAGGGGACTATAGCTAGCATCATCTCTAGCCTGGATTGTCATTGGGATGCAAGGGACGATGAGAATTTATTTAGAAAAAGGATTTATAGAACATAGTATTTTATCAATCAGTCTGAGATTTGGAAAAAAAAAATGTCACTTTGATTTTGTAGTTTGTTGTCAGCACCCCTAACAAAATAAGAAATATACGGAAAGCTGAATGTCTTTGTCCATATTTAAAACATATTGGACAATTTTGGGAGTGCATTAATCTGGACCTAATCAGTGACTATTTGTCCTGCCAAAATGCAATCTGGGATGAATGAAAATGAACTAGGGTTTCATATGCAGTCTTTAAATCATTTGCATGTTTTATGCATGGTAATTTAATTTATTTATGCACTACCTTTCATTTATGGATTTCCTGTTTCACTTGTATTAACCATATTGTGTTAGACAAGAAATAGATTTTATAGGGAATCAGAGAAGAGTAAGAAAACAATAAAATGGAGTAGATTTTTCCATTGTAATGATTAACAAGATAAAAACAAGACAATTATTTTTGCTAAGGTTAGTGTCAGTTATTTTATTAGAAGTATTACAGACTTTTTGAGGCACTCTGGATATTCTTTAGCACATGCTGTATAGAAATGTGGAAAGAACATTATTTCCAAAAGGTATTGAATGTAAGACCTTTTCTTTTCAGTGACCTTAGGGACCTGTGTTTATTGGCCTATTAGCAGGAATAAAATGAATAGCAATGTATTATTTGAAGTACTGTATTTATTTCAGAATCTATGTAGTCATAGCTTGATTTTGAAAACAACAGCTTTATTTCTTTATTGTCCAGTAGCATAGGCAGGTGGTAGAATTTTCATGGATTTGGATATAGATGAAGGTGCCATGTGGAATGTTTGAGGGTAATGTATTTTCATCTCAGCATTACTACCTCTGTATACATCAGAGGTGCTTTAGTTCAGCTTCTTTGATTTCAAATGTGTTGAAATTGGAGCCAGCAAGTTCATTGGTTATACCGGCTGGCAATTTGGGAGTCATAGAAAAAAGTTCCCTGGAGAGTGCCACATTGGGAAAAGCCTATTTAGTGTATTTATAGGACTGTTGTCTAAGTAGCAGCCTCTGACTCAAATTTGACGTTTGCAATGGCCATTCAAGGAAGCGAAAATGGGAAGAAGTTAAGGATGCTTAAAAGTTTACAAGGATATGTTCGTAGTTGTTTTGTCTTTTGTATGTCTGTTCTAGTGCTATTTTTTTGTGGTGTCCTGTCTATTCAGTGAATTCAGTGGTTGTGTGTGATGACTGTCCCCCTTTCTGTTCAGTTAGCAATCTCTCTGAAGCCTAAATTGCTGTTAATTTGTGATGTAACTATTGTGGAGTGCTTTTTTAACAATTGCAATATAGTTTTCAAATGTTGAATAATGTAGCATGAAATCCTCAGTTAGTTTGGAAATGATTGTGAAATCATGTGAAGAAAATCAGTATGGCATCTGATCAAGATAAATTCACTCTAGTGTTTTATGGCTTTTTATTCCTATGTGATAGTAATAAAGTCTCATGTAGGGATGGAAGCCATGAAATACATTGTGAAAAATCATCAACTAAGATGAGCCATCAGAATAGAATCATTATAGGACTAGAGCTGCTAACAATTATTGGAAAATGGAGTATTTGTTTTGTTGCCTTTTATGTTTGCACTGTTTTTTCATTGCTTCATTCTTAGAGTTGGAAAGATAGGGAACTAGTTTCTAATAAAATAATTCATTTTTAAGTCAGCATCAAAGTTTTATATTTTAATACATATTTAATTTTTGTTATTAAACTGAACACTGTGCATGAAACACTGAATTATGTGTTCTATAAATCAAGTAAATCATTAATGGCATTTATCAGGTCCAGGTTTCTTTACTCCCATACTCCGGAAATGATCCCGAACTGAAGCAACAATTCCAGCATGGTGCATTGACATGATTTTTTCCCCAAATTCATGCTCTTCTTCTACTGACATTATATGAATTCTGGGAAGCAGTGTTTGCATAGCAGTAGAACAATTGCATACCTAAACTTGCAGCCACTTCACTGTGCTTGCACTTCTTGAAAGCATGATTGAAATGGCATTTGAAACAACCGTTCCACAATTTCTCCAACATTGCTGAAATCATGCTTGGATGGATTAATAAAAAGAGGGTATCTTAACATGTTCCTTATGCAGTGCTAAGTGCAAACTATATCATTACTGCATATGTAATTCTCTTTCTTTGTGATTATTTTGACTAGGATATGTTTGGAGATAGCAAGTTGTATTGTTCCAAGTCTAGACCCTCCCTCCCCCTTTTTTTTGCATCTACTTTTTGTCCTACCTACAGAAGCTATAGAACTGATTTTTAAAAACAACTCTGTTTTCTGTTACTCAGAAATTTCAAAACCAGCCTATTTTATTTCTGTATCTCTTTCCATAGTTGACTGTTTTGATGATGCAGTAACCTGATTTGAAATATATTTCCTGCTGCATAACACAAAACAATTTAGAATCAAATTATGTGGTTATTAACCATGGAAACCTGATCATATTTACTGAGAAGTATATATCCCATTGATTTCAATGAGATGTAGCCCCTAGTTAGGACAGTTAGAATGGGAGCCTGAATATATGTATTATTATATTTACATTCTTTATATATAGCAACATAGAGGGGACCCAGTGTGCCACTCTGTTACAGAGTCATGGTACATGTATGTGTGTGTATGTGTATGTGTGACAATAGTACTCTTTTCCTAATACAAATCCAACTCCTGTGGTGCTAGTTCTCATAGAAAAGAAACTTCTCTGGTACTTCTTACCACCTCTGTTCTGGAATAACTGTAGCTTTAGGAACATAAGAGGAAAAATCGCACATCAGGAAAGGGTACTAGAGCCCCATTAAGTGCTTCCCTAATAATTTCCTTTTTAGTTTTACGTAAGTTTTGCTAATGTGAATATATATTTAATGAATCATATAGCCTTGGCTCTTAGATCAATTTAAATACATTATATTTTTAAATGCAATAATATGCGCAGTTTAACTTGGATTAAACTAGAACAGTTGCTCAAAGCAGAACATTATATGAACAATATGCTGCTATTTTCATGAGCGGCTATGAGAAAGAAGGAAGAGGGACATTATTCACAATAATAATAAAACTTGTCTAGAAGCATGGCCGTAAGTCTTTTAGGACTAAAGTGCTTGCATGAAATGGAATGAAATACTTTAGTATGTTAGACTACCCTAAGACCGTTACTTGCTATGAAGGCAAAAGTAACTTGGTAATCAGTTGTTTGTATTCCAGTTACACAATAGTGGAAATTAAGCAGTCATTATCCTTTCTGTTTTGACAACCAAAGTATGATCCAGAGCGATAGAAGGATTTTGGCATAGAGAAATGTGAATATTTGCCTGAAGAAATAACAGAAGCCTCTCCCTCTCAGCTAACTTTTGGATGTTCTCAAACTGTTTTTTTTTTCCCTTTTCTTTTTAATTTAGGTCCACTGACTCCACAAAACCTGAGAAGAATTGCTCCAGTTAAGTGGATTAGATATCAAATTACAGATGAATTGACCGTCTACCTTTGTCGGTATTAGAGTTATACGCACAACATTCAAGGACACATCTTAACTACTTCGTCATGTTGCCTTTCATCTCTGAAGCTGTTTAATTAATCTGAAGATAAAGGTGCCTTGCAATTTATATGCCATCAAAATTATTCCTGGAATGTGTAACAGAAAATCACCACAGAAGTCTTGTGGTCATCTGTTAATTTATGATTTTTTATAGTTGCATAGAATATTGAGAGGAATTAGGGCTGGCCCTGCCATTAGATTGATTGACATGGCCATTCAGGTGATGAGGAAAGATGGGGCATTGCTTCAAAACCAAGCTCATTTGTTTACCTGTTCACCTACCTGCCAGCAGCAGTCTGCCACTCCTCCTTGCTACCAGGTTCCTCCCATACTCCTTGCTAAGGGCAGTGCCTTGTTCTAGAATGACAAACTACAGTGATGCTATTCCTTCCCTTTGAGGCCAAATTCTTTGTTCTGAATACTTCTTCTCAATGAGGCATTGAGAGCTAGGTATAGCAGCACAGATGACTAGCTTCCACTGTGCCTTCTTCTGAACACTTGGCAAATGGCTGCTTGACCTTACTCTGTCAAGGGAGCTAAGATCTATAGATTATTATATTTTAATACAGACTCTTCTGAAGTAAGACACTTTTTCCAATTCTCCTTTTCTTCTCTCCCCATTTTCTTACTACATCTTTGCAATAGTGTATCAAATTCGAATTTGCAGCTATGATATTTTATTGTGAGATGCTCTCTGGAAGTGCCCTAATGATGTGCATGCCTTGGAAAGGAAATCAGTTGAAGAGACTTAAATTTCAAGACTGCACCATGAGTATAACTTATCCTGCATATTGTTTGTTTAAATTGCATAAGTGTAAGCTAGGAACACCAGTAAGTGAAATACTGCAGTACACTCTGTTCTGAGAATAGCAGTGTAATGAGGAACTGTGCTTTATAGCACTATCCACTTGCTATTTGATATCATAGAGAATTACAATAATTTATGACACTGGAACTTAGCTGTGCAATGACCTTGAAGGACTGAAGGAGTTGGGGGATGTACTTGTTGAAGAAATAAATATAAATGTGGAGCAATCAACCCTATCTATATTCAAGAAATGCATAGATTTTTAATTTGGTCAAGCTATATGAAATAATAAACTTTGCAAAAATCTGTTTTAAAAATATGAAGAATGCTCAAAATATCACAATTATTATAAACTGTTGCAAATGGATCTTATAAATATTATTTCAGTTAAGAAAGAATATTTAATAATTTAATACTTGTGATTGAAAAAAAAGTCTAACATTCAAAATCTTCATCATTCTCTCATTGGACAGATTTTAAAAGTCAGATTGTTTTTTAACTGCAGTATTTTCTAAATTCTCTTCCCTAAAATACTGCCTGTTCTCTTAGTTATTTAATAAATATGGCTACTGTTGACTTTTGGATTATAAACGCTTCTCTGCCATTATCTTTAAATGTGTAATAATTTCTAAGAATAACTTTAAAATGAATGTCTTTGTATTAAATCCAGACAGTGTATTATTAAAATAAATATATTTTTGTATTAAATCCAGACAGTGTATTATTGTAAAGTTCAATTATATAAGCAGAACTTTTTGAGGTAGGCCATATCAAAGGGATCTGTAGAAAACCATTTCTCTGACTTTCTCCTGACATCTCTCAGCCAGGAGATGATGGACCCAAGTATAAAGTGACTGACTTAGCCATTAATTTGACAACAATATTGTACACTTCTACAAATCGCACACGTGTGCTGTATTCAAGGAACTAGGATTCTTTATTCTCTATTCAAATACATTTGTTGAAATGTAGTATCTGTGAGATACAAAAAAAGGTTGTACATTCAATTGGTACATGTAATATATTCTCCTTCCTTTTATGGCTTCATAAGCAGAAGGCAGGAGACTGAGAAGAAGAATGCAACCAGCAGTGATGACCAGGAAAGTTGCCAGGGCCTCTAAGATCTGTTCTTCCAGTGCAGGCAGCCATTGCAAGAGGCAACAGCTAGGGCAAAAGCTGACTGGGAACACCAATAGAGGAAGAGGTGGTACAGCAGTTGTTCCTTCACTCATACCTCTCTTCTGCACTGCTCTTCTACTACAGCTCCTACTGGAGCCCTACACTTAGTCTACCATGTCTGGGCTAAAAAAGCCTGGAAAATCACTAGACATGGCATCAAAGGGATACAGAAAACGATCATCCAGTGATCATCTAGATTTTTGTAAATCAGTTATCTTAGCCTTAGCTTATATGGTCGGGTTTCTTGAAAGTGAATAACAAGGAGTGGGCAGTAAGGAGAAGCCTATGCGCTTCAAGCCATAGGGAAAATGATGTGATTTTTATTATAGTTAAAAACTTATGTGAAAACTTGTGCATAGTTTCAGGAATTATGTTAAAGAAAGTGGAAAGACTTCCACAAGAGTGTATCACCTTTTGACTAGTTTGTGTCTGGAGATTAAAATTCTTAATCTGACATAAGACCATGGAACAACTAACGCACCTGTCCTCACAACTTGCCTTTCAAAGCATATGATTAAAAGTTGGAGTAAAACTCTTTCCAATCAATCACGCTGGGTGATTTGGGTTGTGAAGTAACCTGGATGCACATTTGTACTCTTGAGCTTTGCTTTCTTTAGCCTTCACAAATACTTCAGTATCAGGGTTGCTTCTGAGATTGTAGAAAGTTATCATTTGAAAGACTGAAAGAATGTGAGTGGGCTTCAACAGATGGCAAGGAGTCAGTAGAATCCTGACAGAGATTACCTCTACAGGGTTAGGGTATTCCTTCTCATTACTGCCAGAAATCTTCAACAGATTCTACACAACAAGAAACCTGGTTGAAGAAATGTCCTGTAGGACATTTAGGGCAAGCTATCAAACCATGAAGTTATCTACATTGTGAATATGTGCAATAATATTTATTTTTGCACTTCCTGGGAAACATTAATAGAATTCTTAAGAAGCATCTGGTCTATATGGTTACATTTAATTCATTTTAAATTAAATCAATTAACTGTATGCTTACTGATATGCTTGCTCATATATTTAAGGGTTTCCTCCTGTCATGTTTAAATTTATTTATTTTATTTTATTTATATATCAAATTTGTCATCAACCATCTCGTTAAAAAGTGACTCTGGGCAGTTTACAGAGAAGATAAAATCAATTAAAATACAATATAAAAGCAGTTTTAAATAATAAGTAAATTCCAAGAATTGATGGAATTGGTGAGTAGCTCAGGGAACATCATCAGGGTGCCATCCACCCCCAGGATTGATTAGAACTCTTATTCCCCCATGCAAGCTAGCAGAGCCAGGTCTTTAGTCCTTTCCAGAAAGCCAGGAGGGTAGGGACCCACTGCACCTCTGTGGGGAGAATATTCCCATGCCATGTAGAGCTTCAGAGGTGATAACCAACACAAGATTCCTGCTTTGTTACTTTCAGATGTAAGTATGGAAGAAAATGTTCACAAGGTAGAAAAATCACATTTCTCCTTTTTTTTTCTCTCCTCAAGTTGATAGGAAGTACCAAGGAGAAAAACACACCCCTGTCAACACTGGCAAGGCAAGCTACTGTATATAAACAGGGAACAAAACCCACACTCATTTGCACTGATGG